ATATCGTTATTTAATATATGTATAACAACAAGAATTATATAGATGTAATAGATGAGATAGAGAAATTAGACGAAGTAATAAAAACACCAAGATATAGAATGTGTTGTCGTAGTTTGTTAGAGTTCGTGAAGGCCGTTTGTTATTATCTTAAGAATATGAAAAATCTAAATAATATTAATGGAAGAGAACAACGGAGGTTTTCACATTGATACAGGTAGTGTTGATTGTAACTTTTGCAGATGTGGTAAAAAGGCATTATATAAACAAACTAAAACAACAACCGACAAAGAAGGTAATGTTATTGTCAATCAGGTAGAGAATAGGAGTAGTTGGAAAGTTGGCAGGGGGACAACACCGGACAGAAACGCTATTTTAAAAGCAAATATGAAAGATGATGAAGATGTTGATACAGTAGATACAGGTTTTGGGTCAAGAAAGCCCACGCCAGAAGAGAGACTTGATATTTTAGAAAAAGAAATAGAGGAACTTAAAAAGAACATAAATTTAAACACAATGGATTAATATTTAAACACATATTGTTTTATGATAATAGGACAGATACAGAAGACGACCCCATCTTCTTGTTTCACATTGGATTGGTCTCGCGAAAGGGAAGTAGCGATTGAACATTCAATAGCATCTCATGAGCAGTTGCTTAATTAGTTTGTTACCCCTATGGATATTAATAATAATAAATCTTATTATTATTAATATGAATAATAAAGTAGAATTTAAATGAACAAATGAACCAAACGAAGGTTATAATCAAGACATCGGATTTTGTAAATATTGTCGTTGTTATGTTCCTAAATCGTATTTTATCGGTTGTTACGGTAAAGTATGCAAAACGTGCGTTAAATGTCGTGAAAAACATTTAACATATATTTTATANNACATTTACCAGAACAAAATGAGCATAGAAAAAGTAGCTGAAAAATGCGATTATTATGTTACAGGGATTGATTTAGATTGTTGGACGAGTTTAGGATGGGAACAAAGATTATTGAAGTATGAACCCGAAACATGTGAATTCGTTTGGGCACAGATTGACTTAAGAAAGCCAGAGAATGAAACGCAGATTAAGAAAATAATTGAACACTTGAAACCGAAGGGGTGGTGTATTCAACACGTAAAAGAACCTTTAAGCGAAAAAGATATTGAGGAAATTATCAGGATTTAAAGGGTAGAACGCGTAATAACGTATATGACCGAGGGTAAGGTGAGCACGGACGCGATTTATAACACTATTATAGAAAACCACAATATGACTCAATTAAAAATTAATGAGATTTTAGGAATTGTTCAACAGTTAGTTAAGGATAGCGTTAAGAAACCAACCACTTATGAAAAGAGCACATCATCAACACCAGTTGATAAAAGCGATAAAAGCGATTGGAGCAAGAAAAGGAAAACTTACATGGAAAGACTGAATAAGGGCGAAATCAAAGTCCCAAAGGAACAAACTTTAGAATACTACGAGATTGTGTTTAATAAGGAAGAAGAAAAATACCAATTTAAAACACCCGCTAAAAGCGAGGAATGAGATGTGATTTAATATTATTTGATAATATTAAAACTCATCATACACATTATACCTTTAAACGTGTATTTATCACGGCACAAAACGGCTTAAAGAGATACCGCTGTAAAGTAGTATGGAGAAACCCGAGAACAAAATTTGTTCAAAGTGCAAGAGAGAGAAGCCGATCAACGAGTTCTATAAATCACAATGTTTATCGTGTTATGAATACACAAAATCATTCCGCGAAAAGAACAAAGGCAAAGCACCAACAGAACAATATTGTGAATTTTGTAAATATGACGTGTTGAAGAAAAATTGGAAAGCTCATTCTATAACTAAAAACCATTTGCTGAATAAGCGGATTGTAGAAGAAGGAATGGATGAGAAACAAGCAAAAAAATAAAAACAGAAACTCGTTGATGATATGGATAGCAAGTAGAAACGCGATTAGCAAGAGGACACAAGGCATGCGAAATATGTAAAATGATGGTAACGCCTGAAAAATGGGAAGAACATTTTAACTGGCTTACTCATAAACTCGCCTGTATGAACTCATAAAATGTAGGTTAATATTATTATTGTTATAATATTAAATTTCATTAGAAGGTGCTTGCCCCAGTATCGGCTTATTGTTATTCTTGGGTTTTGGGCTTAGGGTTTTGGG